TGTTTGTCATGGTGTATGTCTCTTTCACATTTCACATTTTAAGAAAGTTTGGAATCTTGGTTCATTATTGATAAAAAAAAGTGAGTGTCATCGTGGTTAATTGGATATGAGTGTTATCACCTTTAATAGATTTGATGACACTTACATTTATTTCAACTTGCATATAGTTACTTCGAAATCGCATTCAATAACTTAATGATTAATTTTAATCAACTAGTTATTTATTTTTATTCTTCGAGCAAAGGGTAGATTTTAATTTTTTTAGTTAGTGTGTAATTCCTAGGATTCCTATTAAAGTATATTTATTTAATAGACACAGAACTTGCTCAAGAAGTGTGTCAGCACATCCCTGATTTTAGTTATTACGAAATCTAAGTATATATACACGTGGTTATTAGTCTATATGTTGTACCAAAATTTGCATGACTATGTTATATTTTGTGACATGTCATTTTGATACCCTTGCTTGTTCGGAGGGAGACCTTCACTTGGTTGCTAGAGAAAGACCAACCCCAACAAGATTAAGAACAATATTAATCAGAACAAAGTTACCAAAACCAATACGTACATTACTATTCTAAATATTAAGTTTTGGGATTTTAGAACTTGTTTGAATTATATCTTTCTAGAACTTCAATTCAGATTATGAGTTGTTTGCACTCGTTTTTTCATATTAGATATTGTTCCTTTAAATTTCAATTTTATGTTGTTTATGATTTGAATTTAGATTAAATGAAGTGTTGGTATATAGTTTGATTGATATATTTTAAAAATTTTATTTTTTTAATTAAATTTTTATTGCAAATTAACAAAAAATATAAAAAAATTTGGAAATAATAAAAAAAAAATACTTTTCAATCTAAAAAATACATTACAAGTATGATTACATACTGAATAATCTATATGTAATTTACTAAAGTAAGATTTTAATTGAAAAAACATAATACCAATAAAATCTAAGTCTAATCATATAAGAATTGACATTATTCTTTAATCAAAATTTTTAAATAATGTATTAATCTATCTTCAACTCATACTTTCACATTTTTGATTAATGTGAAACTTAAAGTCACGTTTGAAATCTTAATACGTAACTTATTCATATATTATTTTCTATATAATTTACTTAGTATTTATAATCCGTATATAAAACCTACACGTGGATTTCATTATTTACAAATAAAATTCGTATCTAATATTAACTACATATATTTTTTTGATATGTAAATAAATTACAGACCTCTATCCTTTTAGTTTCCGAGTTGCATTGAATTATTAGCTTCTAATTAACCATTTGGAGTTAAGTTAACCTACATACCGGGAGCATAACAAGTGAAGTCTACAACATTGCAAGGAACCTTGAATAGTACAAACTCTTTTATTTCAATACATTACAAAGAGCCTTTACACAAATAGAATTATACAAATACAATTTAGCGTCTAGAAGGAAGATGCTAACGTCAATGTACAAGTGGATAGAAGAGCAATATCTACAGAATTATACAACAGTGTGCCAAATTAACGAGCATTTCATGTACCCTTTTTGTATGTGTACCTCTTAGCAAGCCAGAGATATACAAGAAAGTTGATCAGGCTGAGAACAGACAGAAGCCAAAAGTAGTAATCAAGATGACCCCTATTGAGATTGTCTGGGACCCAACCAATGCTTCCATTGCTTGTGGTGATTTTTGTCACAATTAAAAGAATCAAAGTGCTTACATAGTTTCCCAATGCATTAGTGGTGAGTTGAAGAGCTGAACACAAGCTTCTCATAGCATCAGGTGCCTGTCCATAAAAGAATTCCATTTGACCAATGTTGGTGAAAACTTCCGCAGCTCCTACGAGAAAGTACTGAGGCACTTGGTAGAAGATTGAGATAGGAACGGTTTCAGCGTCGTAGAGGTTGTTTTTTCTGACCATGTGGAGGCGAACAACCTCTAGAATGCCAGCAACGATCATGGAGATGATGGAGATGACAAGGCCTATGCCTACGCGTTGGAGCTGTGTGAAGCCTTGTCGGTGGCCAGTGAACTTTCTTACAATGGGCACAAGGATGCTGTCGTAGACTGGTGCCCAGAAGATTATACTGAGAGTGTCAAAGATGGAGAGGGATGCAGAGGGTATTTTGAAGTGAGGACCTACCTGTTGATCCATTGTGTTTCCTTGTAACACGAACATTGTGCTCATTTGACTGTACACCGTTGCAAAGGCTATCAGGGAAGCCCAGATTGGGAGCAAATGGATTAAGGATTTCAGCTCTTCCACTTGGGTCACTGTGCACAGCTTCCATGGATTTGCCCAACCCTTTCTGTGGTCAGATTCTCTCTCTATTGCTGCCTTGTCCAAAAACCTTAAATAAACACATTTCTCTTGTTACAACAAAATAATAAAATATAAAGGGTAACCTTTTAATTTGGTTACTATCAAATTTCCTTTATAAAATTTATTTTTAAATTGAAAAGTATATATTTTAATTCTTTTAAAATATTACGGTTATATAAATGAATTGAATATTTATCTAAAAGTATCATAGCATGTATTAGTTAACTGTGTTTTTAATTTTTTTAATGAAAAATTGGAATTTGTCTTAGATAATGATTCACCATGAAACAGTGGACCTTTCTACAAGAGTGACTAGAAACATGACTAGAAGGCAAACCTATAATCCTTTTTATTTGTCTTTATTTTCTATTTTTTATATTGACTTTTCTTAAGTTGATTTTTGTTGACTTAACTTTGGTTGACTTGTTTATCATAGTTGACTTAACTTAAGTTGATATTTTAATTCTTTTGTTTGTTTGTTTTGTAGGATAAGCTTGTGCCAGGAGATAACAAGAATAACACTACTTGGAGAGGAGGATAACCTATAAGATATGAGGTAATGTAGAACTTAAAAATAGTATTGTAATGAGATAATGTTTTTATGGAAACTGCATATTTTTCACAATGTGTTATGTAACTTAGTTGTTGAGAGATTTGGCTAAGTGGTCACATGTTCAGGCCTTGGCTAGAGCATAAATTCTATATTATTTATTTGATTTTTATTTAAATAAATGCAACACATGTTATTATATACTTGTTGAATTTGTGATGTGTGTTAATACCAATATGATATGTTGATTTGTTGGTACAAATGTTTGTCTAAGATTGAATGAATGTGGGTTCAAATCCTATGGGAAAAAGTTTAAAGGGAGAAACCTTTTAGTTTTTATTTATATTTTTTATTAAGGGTTTTTCCATTTAATGATTCAGGTGTATAGGGAATTATAAGTGGAGGTGTAGAAAGTAAAATAGGTGGAAGTGGTATAAACTAAAATAATTCAAAGTCACATGAGAAGAGGTAGAAAGAGTCAAAGGGTAGTTTATGCTTTTAAAATCCAGATACATAATATTAGGGATCATGATCTAGGTGGTTTTCATGGTTTGAAAACAAATTTTGGGAAAAAGATTTTCTATGAGCTGGAAAATAAAAGAGAGGGAGTAGGAGAGAGAGACATTCTACAGAAGTAGGAAACCTTACATGAAATATTGAGAGGAAAAGAGAGAGGAAGCGCGACAAAGAGATTGCAGGGACGTGTGAAGAAGAGTGTAGGCTTGTTGTGATCTTGTGTGCGCGACAAAGAGGTTGTAGGGACGTGTGAAGAAGAGTGTAGGCTTGTTGTGATCTTGTGTGTACACTACAATAAAAGTGTTAATTACTAGCAGATAATTACCGACGACCAAGGATCCACCAGTAAGCGTGATTTACAGATGGAATTATCAGGAGAATGCACTGATTCTTTTACCGGTAGATATATTTGTTAGTAATGTAACAATGATATAATTTACCAACGGATTTGAGACCATTGTTTTAGTCCTCGATGAAATAAGATTGAAATTTGAGGTATTCCTTTCCCAATTTGACTTTCAAATATTGCCTCCTCTCCCCTCTTCTAGGCTATTTTAGAGCCAAGGTCCTTCCCTTCCCTTTCTTCAGGCAACCTCGTTTTCCTCTCTTAATGTCATTAT